CACAGTTCACACTCATGATTATCATTACGAATCTGGAAACGTGAGTCATTGCACGTACGGGGCTTCATCATAGTTATAGAAGCACATTTTTAGTCACTGGACGAGCGCGATTATTGAGTGCAGCTGTGGTGGTTCACTAGTGGACCACATTATCTTATCACCGACTCTTTAAAGCTCCACTCTGAGGCGATCTTTATAAGATGACTTATTCGCATAGTGGAATATATAGGAAATCTGCAGCAAAAGCACAGCAAACAGTGTGAAGCTGGAATTCGTGCTAGCAGAGGAAATTGAGGATTTTCTGCTCCCCGACTGGCTAGGAAAGGTAGAGGTTCAAACGGGTAGGAAATGAAACAGCGGATTAGCTTGAGCACTTGAGATCGCAACTGGAACAAGTAGGCTTTATGATGAAAATTTCGCCGTGTTGGACACGCTCAGCTGAGGACGCAACTATTTTCAGTGGTAATGTGTGAAATGCTACGATACGGATGAGTCTTAGCGATGCTCAATGCTGGAAAAGATTCAAGCTCATAATGGGAAACATTTGATCAAATGAATATATAACGATCTTGAACAAGCATCAAATTTAAAAATTCGTACTTGCTATAAAGACGATTAAGAAAATTTTTGTTCTGGCTGTTCTGAAGAAAGCACAAAAATATGATGCGCGGCACCCCACAGTTACACTTTCACTGTAGGACCACTATACAGCGTGGAGCATAAATGAATGTGGTGACAAAGTTCAATACAGCAAATGCTGAACAATGAGCAGAGTTCATGACTAAAGCTTCAGATTTGCCATACTGTTTTGTATACAATTCCATGGTTTCATGGTTCCATAATTTTTATGCTAAACGGCTCCACTTAATAGGAAACTAGTGGGAGTTCCAGTCTCACGCGCTGCTGAGTGGATTCTTTCCGACATTATACGATGCTAACCACAGTACAAATGGTTTTCTTTCCTAATCGAAAAAGAAAAAACGGTTTGATTGTTGTGGTCGATACTGAAGCTGAAGAAGTGCTCAAAACGACGCAGTTTGAATGGTTCGCTAACAGCTGCTCTTCAGAAAGTATGAGATTCATGCCCCACCTGTACAGTACTCGCCGTTTGAAATCGAAAATTCACGCGAATAACGCGAATCCTCGTTAATTTCGTGAATTCGTTATAACTCGGTTCAAAATTGAGCTTTCGAGAATCCGAAGATATCTTTGAATTCAGCTCGTCGGACACTATAAGAATGTGATACTTTGGAAAAGCTCCATATAGGATTGCGCCATGCACTCGATTTTCATCTCAAAAAGTAGTTGCTCGCATGTGATGTGTATATAATCCCGCTTATGCGGGCTAACCGCTACACACAGAAGAAGGGCCTCAAAACTTACCCCAGAATGCGCCACGTACTCAATCTCATCCACTACATTGTGAGATTAGATGAATGTTATTTTCCGAATTCTTAGATCTTCATTTCGTTTTTAAGCGCTTACTGGCTTTACGTGTTCCCTCTTCTCTCAATATCCCATACTCTGTTTATCATGTGGAATCTTTGAACAGTTCTCTGCAGGCATAGTGGGTCTATTATGTGAAATTTTCCATTTTCAGAAGAGATGTTTTGCTGAAAACTGTGAAGATA